TATTACACAAAATTCTAATTTTATTTTAGTTAATTATGTATTAACTAGGGTTAAATGTCGATTATTTTGCAAATTTCGGGGTGGTCCTAAACTTTTGGCCAGGGAGTGTATATATATAATTATTATTGTTATTAATTAAAAAAATATATATCTCTTTACAAATAAAATTGTATAATTTAGTAAATCCTTTAATACAATATTTTAATTATTTTTTTTCTATAAGCATTAAATGATTTTAGTAAATAATTATAATATATAATTTAAAAAATATATATATAGGTATTTGTTATATATAATTATCTCAATTATTTTACTATATAAATTAGGTATTCAAGGTAATTTGATTTAAATCAGCCAATCACATGAAAGTTACTCCAAAGTCATATCCAATTCTTCATGACGATTTGTTATAGAAATTAAATTCGAGAATACATAAGTAGTACAGTACAATCTTTTGTAAATCGTTTAAGGAACAATTATTATTTACTAATTAAAATAAAAAATAGAGTTTCTAAAGATCAGATGATAATCCGAAATGGTCATCATTTTCACTAAACCTAACTATTGTTTGACAAGGAATTTCATCGGGACGAGTAGTACATTTTGGTAAATCAATTAAATCATTTTTACATTTCGTTCCACATGGTCTAGTACTTCGCAACAAAGCAATATGTTTAAATCCGATATCAGAAGCCAGCCACCACACTTTATTACCAAATAACAATGGTAATAATTCAACAATTATCATTAATAGTGGTACGGATATCATTAATCCAACCGATATCATTGGATCTCTACCTCCCTTACACACTTTATGAGTAGCCGTTAAAGTACCGGTTGATGTACTATTTCCTATCAATTCATCCACGTTAATTAAATAGTCAACAGGGTACATATTGGATGCGGCTTCCAATAATGCCCCAACGTATCGTACGGTTGTCGATGCTCCTTTAACCTGGGCACATGTGAAGTTTCCTGCACGACATCCCCAACCAGCAACCAACTGTTCTATAACATTAATGGAAATTAAGTCAGTCCATTCCGAAGGACGTTGAAATACCTTTTCCATGGTTTCAAGTAGCTCATCTAAAAGTTCCCCTAAATCTGTTAGTTCGTCCTTTCGCAACAAAATTTCAGCCAAATGTTCATCACGAGGGCTATTTCCAGGAAGTTCACTTATTACACGAGGAAAGAGTCCTTGTTTTAAGGTTACGGGACAATCCAGTCGTACCGAACCTTCAAAGGGGGAGGGCAAATTGCATAATTCCCATGAGATGGTTTTGTTTTCTTTACTAACATACCTACCGACAAATGTTCCTGTAATATTAGAATCGCAAGGAGGATTTGGATCAGCATTACATTGAGCGGCCAAGTATTGCATATTAATATTATCCAATTCCATTTCTACCCTCCACTTGATACCATTCGTATCTCCAAGGTTGGCATTTACTAAAGCATCCTTTAATGTAGTAAAAGTTACTGGCAGAAATGCTATCTCTCGTTTATCTCCTCTGGTCTTATCAACCCATTTAGCCAATGAATTAAATTGAATCATGTTCAATGCTCCGATGAAATTCCGAGAAATAAACGCATTATTCAAGCTATCCTGTTTCCCCACCGTTGGAGTTTGTGCCCATTTAATTGGGGTGGTAATATAAACGTAAGGCGTTCCCAACTTTGATGAAGCGTACGCACCAGCACCAACACTTGCAACATAAACAAATAAAGTGCTCGCGTACAAAGCTATCTGAAAGTATTTAGTGTACCTTCGTTTTTTATAACCTTTAGTACTGACATCATTTTGTTTAAATATTACAAGACATGCTGATAGAACTCTTAATGGAGTTTGTTCACCACTCATGATGGCTTCGAGAGGAATTCCATGTCTTCTGAGCAAAAAGTAGCCTTGTATGTAAGCAAACATATGAGCAAGAGTCGCTTGAGCCAGGATCCCAACAATAAGGGCCACTATAAATGATCCGAAACTCATCAAATACTGAAGTTCGGGATTATAATCAGGATGCTCTCCACAAAGCTCGAGAACATAACCCCATATAAATATTATGGTAATTAGGAAGAATCTCGTTAATGGATCTTGCCATTGCCACTTTGCAAGTGACACATCCTGAAGACTTGATGACATTTTACAAGCTAGAATTGGTTATCCTATTTTAATTGTTACTGAAATGGTCGAAAATTTTCATTCTGTCAATTTATTTTAAATTAATTTATATTTATATATTATGTGTCATTTTTTTTTTTTATCATACAAGATGCTTATAAATGGAAATTAATAATAAGAATCAATAAAACAAAGCTTGAAACAAAATGGTTTAATTTGTGTTTCATTTCGTTTATTTCGTTTCATCTAATAATGTGACTGACCTCTTACATGATTGTTTAATGAAAAGTTATTTGTTTTTATCACGGTGATATTCACTTGTGGGATAAATCCTTTTTTATAGGGTTTACTTTCGGTGTTTCTCTTCGTTCCTATTCTTTTTTTTAAAAATTCTTTTAAAAAAAAAAAAAAAATAATAAAATAAACGCTACGTAAATAAAAAAAAAAAAAAAATGACAAACTTGTTTTCAAATTTAATTTTTTCAACGTGGTTAATCATCTTTAATCACATTCTTTTGGCAAATTGTATAAACGTTTATGGTGGACGCGGATTTCATTCGTTTTTTATCGAGGATAAATTGTATTTTCTAACCAGTATATCAACTAATTTTTTTTATTTAGACTTAAAAGGCATATCGTTAGACAGTGATACTATTGTTAATAAAACCAACTTGGTTGACCTCACCATAGTTAAACCTCGACCAGATGCTATTTTTTCCGACCGTCCAATTTTGGGAGGTAAAACTCATAATCAAATAATGTTCTTGGAGCCAATATTAGATGATTCATTCGCTGATATATTTGACACTACATTAAATCGATGGGAAATAAACGTAAATGTCGACAAATCCTTCATGAAATTTTTTAAAATTTGGGTATCAAATGAAAAGACCGGTAAAGCCTATTCATTTATTTCAATTGAAAATGGCGTAGCAATATTTGATACGATTAATTTGAAATGGATAAATAGCACTTCAAATCCACAAGAATTTTTTACAAATAAATCAAATTTGTACACTGGATTTGCGCAAGTAATGTTGTCAAATGGTAAAATTTTGTATATTGGTGGAACTGTTGGTAAAGTAAAACAGTCAATGAGTAAGATATTAACTTATGATAGCGAAACTGATACGTGGACGATGATGGTATGAAAAATCTTTTGATCCATTAAACATGTCATCAATTGACAATTGAGAAAGTATCTCATAAATGTAATTTTTATATAGATTGCGGCAGGAAATGCACCTGAAGGACGTATCGAGCATACAGTTGTGTCAAGTAAGCATCATATCAAGAAAATAAACCCTCATGTAATTATCAAGATTAAAATTTCAATTTTTTTTTTTTTTTAGCTTCAGATGGACGTGTCATATTATACGGTGGAAGATCGAATTTCGTGCCAGCCTTACCACAATTGGCAACATTGGATACCTCAAAAACACCATATGAGTGGTCAACACCTGCAGAAGAGAATAATATTGGATCTTTTAGCGAACATACAGCGATCATGGTTAACAATTATATGATTTTCGCATTTGGTAAATATAAAATTGGTTTAATATTTTTCATCTATAATAAATTGGTGAATTTCTATTTTTTTTTAACAATGCGTTTGTCATTTTTAAAGGTAAAAATGAATCGGAAAAAGACCCTTTGAAATATAATAATAAGGAGATATATAAATTAGATGTATCAGATCCATTAAAGTATAAATGGTCGTTATTGTCCAACTTTGAAGATTCAGAAAAAATAGAACCAACTACTACATTTCCTAACTCATCTAACGCCATACAAACGGATGTATCCGTTGGTGGAAGCTCCATCTTTAAGAACATTGGATTGAAACCACGTTGGGTTGTTTTGATCGTAGTTATAATAATAGGTTTAATTTGTATATCAATACTCGTTGTTTATAAAGTAAAGGAATATAAAGGGAAAAACTGGAAGAATTATCAACAAAAGATATCAAATAACGAAGAAATATTAGTTTAAAGAAAATTTTTTTTTTATTAATTTAATTACAATCACAATCACATTTTTAATAATGTTGTCTGGTACAACAAACAAATTTAATTAAATGTTTAGTTATATTAAACGATCGAGATTATACATAAATTGTATCACTACAGATTTGTCTTTTAATTTATTTTTCGTGCTATTTCTTTCTTTTCCTAGTCTATAGTTTTTCCGTAAGTGCATTCTATTTATTTTGTGCGAATTATTTTCAACAATTACCCGAGCATTTTGTGTCACCTTAATCAATTAATTCCGGTGAAATTTATTTCAATATTTACCTTATTTTTAAATAAGCCCGAGTCGAGTTGAAAATACTTCAACTTGACTCGACTAGAGTTATATTCCTTAAGAAACAAAAGTAACTATGTTCAAAGTTCTTTATCAATAAAATATACGAACGATTAATAAATTACCAATTTATCCTTCTTAAAAATAAAAATTTAAATAACAAAAATAACCTCTTCATTTGTCAAAGGAAGAGAATGAGAAAA